GCAAGAGAAGTAGATAGGTGTGAAGCAAGTGAATCCAATTCAGGGTTAGGAAGTACACATTTAATATTTAAGGAAACTCTTTAGGTGCTAGCCATGAACATGTCCCAAGGAAAGAGATTGCCTTAGTTGAAAGGAGCATGTCACTGTTCATGGAATTCTTCTAATTCTTTGTTGCTACTATACACAACCACATTTCTTATTACAGTTTTTAAGGGGCTAAGCTAATCAGGCAGCCTGCGTTTAAGCAGTTTTTAATAATCATTGACAGTCATCCTCAGAGAAGAGCCTGAATTGCGTCCATTACCACAGCTGAGATTATAGTAAGCCTCTAACTCTCAACCTTTGACTCACTTTTCCCTCTCCCAGGCACTTGCACCATTTGCAAGAAGAGCAGTTAAGGACTGGATAATTCACATCTGTCACTCTTCTTGGGTTTGAACTCTAATGTTTATTAACATAAAGATAATGGCATCTTTCTGGGCCCATCTTTTCAGTATTTCTCATTGTAAAACTCTTGTATAACTCATTTTATAACTCCAGTTTTTCTAAGTTCATCTTAAGCCACTTCCTTATAGTCTATGTGGAGTATGATCAGAAAACAAGAGGTAATGGAGCTGTGTCAAACACGTATTTAACTTTGCCCATTCAACTATTCAGAGAGAAAGAGCATTAGAATTTCAGTAAAGTGGCTGATTCTATTAACATTTGATGTTCCACTTAGGATAAGATGGGAGATACGTTATTCCAATCAGTCTCAGTTCCCATGGGCCTTTCTTATAGGAAGAGCATCCCACTGCACTGTTATTTTCATGCTTAAAGATACATACTTTAGGCCAGGTGCGGTGGCTCACGCCTGTAATCCTAGCACTCTGGGAGGCCGAGGCGGGCGGATTGTTTGAGCTCAGGAGTTCGAGACCAGCCTGAGCAAGAGCGAGACCCCGTCTCTACTAAAAAAATAGAAAGAAATGATCTGGACAACTAAAAATATATAGAAAACATTAGCCGGGCATGATGGTGCATGCCTGTAGTCCCAGCTACTCGGGAGGCTGAGGCAGCAGGATCACTTGAGCCCAGGAGTGTGAGGTTGCTGTGAGCTAGGCTGACGCCACGACACTCACTCTAGCCAGGGCAACAGAGCGAGATTCTGTCTCAAACAAACAAACAAAAAAAAAGATACATGCTTTATACAACACAGCCCTGTAATACGAGCTCCCTACTTTGTTTGGTACACAGTTGAACAAGTTATTCTGACACTGGCAGAAAAGATATTTCTCTGTGTGAATAGGCTTATAGTAAATGCAGAGAGTGTCGATCAATATTCCTAAGTAAAAATGACAATACTCGTGATAGTTAATGTTTATTTAGTCCTTAGTATAACACACTGTACTAGGATGTGCTTCACATTCACCATCTTATTTAATCCTCAACAACCCTATTAGGTAGGTCCTGTTATCCTGTTGTTAAACTACAGTAACTGACTTAAAGACAACCAAGGGAACCCATACATACCTCTCTGCATAAATATTCCCTAAAACACAGGTATTCCCAGGAAAGCAGCAAAGAATCATTGCAGGGACAAGTGCAGATTAACATACAGGCTCTCAAGCTGTGTTTCAAAAGTTCTCATTTAGGAGTGGTTCATCCAGAAGTTGGAATGAATTTTCCCAAGGAAATGATGTTATCACAACAAAAGCATATTTACCCACAATGTGCCTGAAGTAATAATAACCATTTTGTGCACCAATATTTCCATGGAAAAATTCACTCAAGAGTTTCCCTTGGATTGCTATGGACACATTTCTCCATCACAGAGGGAATGGGGACCCTGTGGTAGAAACAGAATCATTAGAAATGTTCAAATTCTGAATTAGTGGTGCCTTCCAAGGCCTTTGATAGGAGTTGATGGGAGGAAGGAGGATGAAAACATGAGTACAACTGGACACAGGGAGACACAGGGTCAGGAGATCTTGGGTGAGGAACGGGATAAAGCCTCTGAAGGTGAAAGGTGGGTTGGGGGTTTCAGAGAGGAGAGGGAGAAGGCTAGAGAGTGCTAGGGACCCAGAACTCATTGGGTCTAACCCCCCAGGGACTCTTCTCACTCCAGGCAGCTAGCTCCCTGTGCACTGCCTCTGTTTCTTCTACTGACCCAAAGAATTTTCCCTTTTGCCTGCTTCCCTTTTTGACCACTCTGTGAAACTGAGAGCAAGCACAGTGGTCCTAAGGGTTTTTAACTTCTGTAAAGGCAAGAGCCCATCCTAGGCCCTTTGGAGGTTTTCCTTTCTCATTCTCTCACACAAGAGCAAATATCAGTCTACAGATGCTTTGGGTGGGTTTTGGGGTCCCAAAAGGGGCTGAGATAAAATGCATAATTATTTCAAATGTAGCTCTCCAAGGCTGAGGCTTATGGGAAAAGGGAGAAGCCAAGCCCCGTGTTCCTTTCTCTCCTGCCTCTCTCCTTTCCCCCTTGTCCTCAAAATGAAAGTGGAAAGGAAAGAGTAGGGCCCAAATCACAGCTTGCCAGAGGGGAAAGGCTATACGACAGTGTGATCCTTGCATAGATGCTGGGCTGTATTTTTTTCAGGGCGCATGTCTCTTTCACAGGTGGGATTATGTGGGCACCCAAACCTCAGACCACCTTCCTGTTTACCTACTAGCCAATGTTTCCCTCCCTCCTCTGGGATATGAATCACCTGCACACCTGGGGCAATACCCCAGGCCCACTGAGTCAGTATCTCCAAAGGAAGAGACTGCAAAGCCCTGTGATTAACAAGTGGCCCCAGGTGATTCCTGTCAAGGAGGTTTGGCAAACACTGCTGACTAGCCCCACCCCAGCCGACCCCCTTTGCTGGTCTTCAAAGGTTCCTAGAACATGCTAAGCCCACTTCTGCCTCAGAGTCATTATATATGCTATTTCTTCATGAAAAACTCTTTCCTGCTCCCTACTCTTGGCTCATGTCTACTTCTCATAACTTCAGGACTCAACTGAAAGATCACTTCCCCAGAAAGACCATCCTAGACCACTCTCCTCACCATCTAAATCAGGTCCCCCTGCTTCATTCTCTCGTAACACCTGATGCTTTTTCTCCTTAGCATTGATCACAAAGTTTGTATCTCATGTATTCGCTTTGATGTCTGTCTCCCCACTAGTACTGAACACAGGAAATGCCTAGTAAATATTTTTTGTGGGAATGAATGAATCAATGGAAAAGTAGTGTTGGGGGGGGTACTAAAGGTTGTGTTGGATGTTGCTCAACAACAACAAAGAACTGAGCATATGAAAGCTTTACTCTCCCAGGTAAAATTTTTACTTGTGATCAAAGCAGATGGGCCCAACAAGTAAGTGTATTTATGGGCATGATGGGTCAGATTCTTTCAAAAAATATTTATTAAATATTTGATATGTGCAAAATTCAGTATTAGGAGCTGTGGATACAACAGCGAATAAAATTGATACAAAATGTCTTTATGGAGCTTACATTCTGGCAAGGATGACAGATATTAAGCAACCAATTATATAATTTTATAATTTTGATAAATGTGATGAAAGAGTTACAGAGAGCTATATGAGGCTGTAAAAGGAAGACTTGACATGGTCTGTAGGATATCAAACTAATCCTAGAATTTCTGAGACATGTGACTGGGGAAGCTCTGCCCAGAGAATCATATATATTCTGTCCTGTCTCTTGTCAAAGTTGGCATGAGGGGAAGTGCTGTATAACAGTTTCTCAGCCTCGGCATTACTGACATCTTGGACAAGGTAATTCTTTGTTTTGGAGCATTTTCCTGTGCACTATAGGATGTTCAGTACATTGCTGGCCTCTATCCACTAGCTGCCAGTAGCACCCCATAGTTGTAATAACCATAAATGTATCGACATTGCCACATGTCCCGAAGGTGGGGGGGAACAGAAAAATCTCTCCCTCCTACCTTCCCCAGTTGAGAACCATTGCTCTACATGAAATTTTTTTTTTTAAATGTGTTTTCTATGATTTATCTAAGTCAATACCAGGAATTTAATTTATTCAGTAAACAAGTATTTATTGAGTACTTATTATCTGTCAGACACTGTTCTAGGCACTGGAGATACAGCAGTGATCAAAGCCTGTACTTTCTTTTTTGAGACAGGGTCTTGCTCTGTTGCACAGGCTGGAGTGCAGTGGCACTATCATAGCTCACTGCAGCCTCTAACTCCTGGGTTCAAGTGATCCTCCCACCTCAGCCTCCTGAGTAGCTGGGACTATAGGTGCGCACCCCCACACCTGAATAATTTTTTTTTTTTTGAGACAGAGTCTTGCTTTTGTTGCCCGGGCTAGAGTGAGTGCTGTGGCGTCAGCCTAGTTCACAGCAACCTCAAACTCCTGGGCTCAAGCGATCCTTCTGCCTCAGCCTCCCAAGTAGCTGGGACTACAGGCATGTGCCACCATGCCCAGCTAATTTTTTCTATATATTTTTAGTTGTCTGATTAATTTCTTTCTAGTTTTAGTAGAGACGGGGTCTTGCTCTTGCTCAGGCTGGTTTCGAACTCCTGAGCTCCAACAATCTGCCCGCCTCGGCCTCCCAGAGTGCTAGGATTACAGGCGTGAGCCACCACACCCAGCCCTGAATAATTTTTTTTATATCTTGTAGAGACGGGTCTCCCTCTTGCTGAGGCTGGTCTTGAACTCCTAGGCTCAAGTAGTCCTCCTGTCTTGGTGTCCCAAAGTGCTGGGATTACAGGCATGAGCCACTATGCCCAGCCAAAGCCTGTGCTTTCTTGGTGCTACATTCCAGTGGGGAGAAATGGACGCTAAATTTTAAAATATGTAATACTTCAGAAGAAGGGTACAGGTTGGTCATAGAACTCTTCTCTGAGAAGATGACATTTGAACAAAGTCTTGAAAGAAACAAGGGAATGAGCCACATGAGAGGAAATGCCAGGAGCAGCAGGTGAAGCCATTGGAGGGCCTGTATTCTCCTCGCCTTTCTGTCTGCTGGTCTGACCAAGCTCCTTTGTGTTTCAGAGGGTCCTCCGTAGAAGGGCAGCTGAATGGACTCCAGAGCAGCCTTAACCCTGCCGCCTTTGTGCCCATCGCCAGCTCCACAGGTTAGTGGGCACCAGCTCTTCCGCAGGTGGGACAGCAGGGAAGGTGCTGGGCTTAGCGCATCCTTTCTTCTGTCTCCAAAGACAGCACCAGTTCAAAGGACAAAGTATCCAGGCTCTTAAAGGATTGACAAATGGGCATTTTTGTTATAGTCTTCTTTAAAATAATATTTAAAGCCTAGGATAGGCATTTTCTGAAACTAGTTTAGGGTAATCGAAACTCTCCAGTCTGATAGAATGCTCTTAGATTTGCAGCATTTAGTAAAAATGCAGTGTATTTTTATTAAAATTGACTACTGTTTCACTCTTTATATTGTATTTCCACATGTTGTATCTCTCACTTAATCCTCATAACAGCCCTGTGAAGTTGATCTTCTTCTCTTCCCCCCGTAAGGAAACTGTGGCTCAGAACGTTGAGGGGCGGGTAGCGGGTTATACATGGATGCAGAGCTGAAGCTCTGGTCGTTGACGCAGGTCTGGTGCTAATGCCACAGTCTGTTGACAGGTTGTTACTGAGAGCCTGAAGCCTCTCAGCATAGGTACGTACATACAAGTTAGGCAGTGTTGGTCCAGAGATAGTTTTCTATGAATAATGATTATAAAAATGCACTAGTAAGTAATCTGAAAACTGAAATAAAATGACTTTGATTCAATTCAGTAGGTATTATTAAGCACCTGGAGAAAGGAGCACGCCGGGCACTGAGATGCATACAGGGTAAACGAGTCAGGCTCCGCTCTCAGGGAACTTACGGACTCGTGGAGATAGAAAAGTCAGCAGGGAATGTGCCACAAGGTGGGTGGTTTTGGGTACCTGGCGCACACAGAATAACAACAGACAACACTGACTGAGCATTTGCTAAGCGTCAGACACAGTTCTGAATATCGTACATGTCGTAACTCATTCACTATACAGGCATATAATGGAGGAACTGTAGTCCCCATTTTATGGCTGACAAAATAAAGGCTCAGACAGATTGTGAAGCTTGTCTAAAGTCTCACAGCTGGTAAATGCTGGGACAGTATTTGACCCCAGATCTTTAGGAACCGAAGAGGGATTCCTAGCGGAAGAAGCATTGAAGCTGAGACTTGAAGGTGGACAAGTCAGCCAGGATAGGGAAGGCATGGGATAAAAGGAGTTCCAGGAAGAGGGAACGGTATGCGCAAAGGCTGGGGGCAGTAAAAAGCTGCTGTGTTTTGCAAGCCCCCACAGGTCAGTGTGGCTGGGGACTGGGGTGTGAGCGGGGAGTGGCAAGAGGAAAGGTTGTGAGGCAGCAGGAATGGTTTACGAGCCATGTAGGAAACTTGGTCGTTGTCCTGACAACAGAAAGGAGCCATGGAGGAGTTTCAAGCAGGGGTGTGAGGGGTGGGGATGTGGTTTGACATAATACTCCTTAAAATGATTACAAGATCTCTGAGAAGCCCAGATACTTGGCTGCGGTTGGGGATAATTACATATCACTCATAGGCTTTATTGTGAGGAATAAACGAACCAATATGTATGGGAGAGCTCTAACTACACCCAGGTCAGGTAATATTATGATAGGAGTATAAAGACTTTTCTCCCTTGAAAACCTGAATTCAAGAAATATTTGATGGGTATCTACTCACTACCTCCCACCCCCACCAAAAAAAAAGAATTACTAGAACATGGTTGTTGTTTTACAGGAAGTAAAATTTCCACCTAGAATTGTTATGGACTGAAAAGTGATGGCTCAGAGAATCATGGCCAAGTTTAAAGGATTTCTGTGAGATATCTGTTAGAGCCCCTTCAGCTCTTCAAATTTGCTTAAGCTTTAGAAGTCTGCAAAGCCTAGGAGATCCGGAAACGTGGACTACTTGATTTGCATGTCTAATTGATAAATTAAGTATTAACTTAAAATCCATATGCTCTCTAGCTAGCAAGTTGGAAACTTGAGGGGTCAGGTGGGACATACTTGCAGCATCTTAACCATGAATTAATTTTACTGACTCTTGGTGAAGATATTTAGAAAATTTTGAGACACTCATACTGAATTTGGTATCACCATGAAACCACAGAGCAAGGAGAAGAAGTTGTGTTCCCTCCTAACTTCTAAAATTGACATTTCCCCTACTTGTACCTTAAGGTACCAAGCAGATTATTACTCTTGCCTTGTTTAGATAGCCTATTATTTACTGCTTTTGTCACCAAATGACTTTGGACCTCCAAATTCTCTTGAATTTGCTTCTACTCTGTGATTTTCCTGATGTTCCCAATTCTTAGTTAAAGAAACACTTCAGAGCATGATATAGTCAGGTTCAGGCATTTTTCATACTTCCCAATAAATATTTTACCTTCACAGTCTTAGTAACTAATTCTGTTACAGTTATTTATACAACTAGTTTCTTAACTGCCTGGAATATCTGTGTTTCAACTACAAAGCATGTGTTTTCTATATTGCAAGTAGATTTAAAGTAGTTATTCTAGGGGTTCAGAAGGGTGTCCAGCGAAAAGGAGGTTAGGTGGCTAGTAGTAGCTTTTTTCTTTAAACTCACAAGAAAGGAGAACAGCCACCATAATAAGTCAAAAAGTTTACACTCCTATACTGGAATCCCTGAACTTTCTATGAAAGGTATTTAGTCCCTGTCTGGTCCCATTAACTCAGTTGGTTAAACATTGTATTAATGAGTCCATGAATATAGCAAGTGTCTGTTTCCTGGCCCTTAACCCATTCCCTAAGTGTGGCCTCCCAGGCTTTGAGCTGGGTGACTTTGTTTCTCAGGCAGTCTGAGTAAGATAGTGATTTGTCCTAGGGCAGTGTTGAAAAACAACTCAGAATCCTTTCCTACAGATGGTGGACTAATGACATTCTTTTCATTATGAGTATTAAATGAGATATGGTGAATGTGAAAGCTCCTAGCAGAGTGCTTGGAATGCTCCATGAATGTTACTTTTCTTTGACTTTCCTAACCTCAGGCTATGTATTCAAAGTTTGCTATGGAAAGGAAGGTGTAGAGTCAGCAGACTGAGAAATTTGAGAAGGAAGCTTCAGTGAGGGCCACTGGCCCAAAGCCAACGTCATAGCCTTCCTTCTTTATAACCATGACGTTCTTCTTGAGTTCTGAAGTGGTGATGGTGAACTAAAATAGCAGAGAGCAACAGATTAGATAACTGACATTTCTCTCGTGCTGATTCGATAATGTAAACGACCATTATTATAGGAGTCTGAAGCCACACCAGCTGCCCTCATCCCTGGCCCTTGGCTTCTGCCTAAGCCTTTCCTATCCTGGAGTCCAACTTTTCCCCACCCTCTTCTATTTTTAAGCTCTTACTGGTCTGTAGTTGGTGGAAGAGACCTTACTACCTTTTGAAAATCAGTGATAGATTTCATTTACAAGAAGTGAGAAGTGATGTCCTTGTTAAATGTTTATTGTTTGGGCCCTGCTAAAATGTGCTACAGCTTTGTGCTCTTTGCATGGGGATGGGGCAACAGCATGTCAGTGTGACTCTGCCTGCCCACTTCATTGTGTCCCTGAGACAACAGGAAAAAGGAACTTATTTTAATATAAAGTAAACCCAGTGGAGCTTAAACCCTAAGGATCTAGAAGTCACTTTAACTTTCAAGTGAAATTATTTGCCTGGAAGCTCTCCACGGAATGACCTATTTTCATTATCAAATTTTTATTCTCTTCACCACACATTATGTAGTTGTTGGAGCTACTGGGTGGATTAGGAGTATTTTATAAAAATAAATAAAGCTTTTGAGATGCTTGCCCTAGTGTTCTATACCCGTTATTGCTCCCAAAACACTCTTCTCTCTCTAGGAACAGAAGGGTAAGAATTTGGGTTGATTACCCACTTTTATTCTGTTCAAAAGCAAAAGAGAGACTATGGATTTGGTGTTTGGCAGGAAATGGGATGGCAGCATCTGGGAGGACAGTGATCCCCTTACCGAGATTTAGATTTGACCTCTTGTCCTTTGGGCCAAGATCAAATATAGTGTTAAGTAGGGATTTTTTTTCCATTTTTCAGGATCTTTGGAAGCTCCCCAAGTTATTTTCGCCAGATCCAAACCCTTGCCCACACAGTCTGGAGCCCTTGCTACAGTTATAGGACAGAGAAAATCAAACTTGGTGAAGTCAGGGCCAATTTAAGGTAACAGTAAGAATAAAAGCATATTTTTATCATTTTCACTTGCTGACTTTATGCCAGAGCAAGAGACTTGGTAGCTGTCAAGAGAAGTGATAGCTTTTCAAAAATAACAGTGAAGCTGGGGCTTTATAAAACTAAAGCTCAGAAGGAGTCTCCAAAACTGTGGGTCAAAGTTGAGCTGCAAATAGCTTGTGCCTATAATGGTCTACCAGTAGGTGGTGCTGTGGCAGTAAGAAATTTCTCCACTGTTACTAGAGGCTTTTATTTAAAAATATGGGGACTTTGAGACAAAACAAAGAAAGAAACTAAAGCCATAATTGAATTATCACAGGTAAAGTGTAACAGAATATATAGGAAAACATATTTGAAGGTCAGGTTGCAATAGTCTCAAGAAGCAACGGATATTATCAAAGAAGGCTTTTAGACTAGAGTTAGATAGTTTGTGAATTGGACTTTCAGGTAATGGGAGGCAAGGAGGAAATAAATTTTTTGTCTTAAATTTTGGTGAGGTTGATGAATTAATTATGCTTTTTACTGAGTTATTTAAAATAAACATATGCTATAATTGGCAGCAAAACAAACTATAGACCCCATCCTACACCTATCCAAAAAAAAGCTCATACATTGAGGAATGATCTAACTTGATCTTGTGAAGCTGTATGCACACTTCCCCAGTGCTGCCCTCAGTATTTTGTTCCCAGCTGTGGCCTTCAAAACTTTCCAGAAAATTCTATGAAACTTTAAGGCTTTGATGATTCCTTTCCTCTTTGCTCTGCCCTGCACTCTAAAGCAGTAATGGCACACCTGCTATGAGTTTAATACTCTTTTTACCTCTAGGGGAATATTTTAAAAACTTGTTTGAAAAGCATTATTCATCAGAATACCCCAGGAG